TATTTGTCTTTATTTATTCTACTTCTTGAGAGAGGAGAAGAAACAGACAGCCCCGACAGGGTCTCCTAATGTTGGGCTCTGCCTCCAGCCATCCAGCCTGCCAGGATTCTGGGCGCATGCCTGGTCTGTTTCGGGCTCCCCAGAATACAAACATGGTCTCCCCGTGGCTCCAGCACTGCAGATCAGCGCCCAGCTGCCTGCACCACCCACAGAGGACGCTGCTTCTGCCCCTGCTCAGGGGTGCTGCAGTCAGGGCAGACGCTGAGACTTCTGAACCAGTCAGCCGACCTGCAGGGAGCTGCAGCTGGGGTGGGGCTGGCTTATTTGGATTCATCTTGTAGGGTTCCAACCCCAATTCCAGAGTCTTCACCAAGGCCCATCCTTGGTAGGCGCTTGGGCCTCCAAAAGCACTGCTCAGCCTCTCGGCCTTTGTTGGGGAGTGCTCAGGGTGAAAGTGGCCCCACCCCAGGCCAGGCTTCCCCCTCTGGTTTCCAGCTCTCCCTGGTGCTTTCAGGGTGTTTCATGTGTTTTTTGTTTTAGATGTTTTTATGTTTTAACTGCGGTTGCTCCACGTTTTCCACCACCAGTACAAGTTGCCTGATGGGGAGTCAGGAAAATAATAGTCCTTACCTCATATGGGAACTTTAGAAAGTTTGTGCAGAATGGAATTAAAGTATGAAGTTGTTTTGGTGCAAAAATAAATAGAAATTTGGCCCAGCCTGGCGACCTATAGTTCGTAGCACACTGAACTGCAGTGCTTGAGGCCACGTGGTCAGCCAGGAGTTCAGATTCACATCCCCGGCATGGTAGACTGACACCCCCAGGCACGTGTACTCCCGAGGTCCTGACGAGCCGGAGCACTGGGGAAGGGCATTGTGGTGTGATGAGGTCATGCCGAGGGTGCCGCTCTCTCATCCTCGCTCTTGTTTGTACCCATGTAATCTCTCTCATTAATATATTTTTTTTTTTGGAGAGGTTTTTGCTATAGGGCGTGTGCGCTCACCAGAAAGAGAGCGACAGACAGAGAGACAGAAAAAAAGAAATCACCCCCAGGGGGGATGGCCATGCCACAATCCTTTCTTCTCCATTCTCTTCTTGGGATCTTGGGCACGCAGGTACACGCGCCCGGTGTGAGTTTAAGCTACCAGGTCTGGAACTCGAACCATAGTCAACTACATGGGAGTTCAGCAACATAGCCATTACGCCATCTGCTGGTCCCATCATGAATTTTTAAAAAATTGAAATCCACCAACCAGTGTGGTGATTGGGGTGCTGGATCCCACGTGGCCGACTCCATGGTTTGAGTTCCGTATCCAGTGGTTTGAAAAACATGCAGGGCATGTGTGCATGCATGCCCCAAATCCCAAGATGAGAATGGAGGAGAAGGCATTGCAGCGTGGCCAATACCCTTAGGGGGTGATTTCTCCCTTTCCCTCTCCCCTCTCTCTTTAGGTCTCTCTCTGGTGAGCATGTGCACCTTATGGCTAAAACCTAAAAGAGAGTGAAAGAGAGAACCAACAGAGAGAGGAATCAAGTTCAGGCTTCCAGAGGCAGGGAGGCCGTGAGGGGCCGTCTGTGGAGGGCTAACAGTGGGTGAGGGTGAGGCAGGACGGTGTGCTCTGTCCTCCTCTCTGGAGGGCTCTGGTGACTGACGTGAGTCCTTACTGGTGGAGAGGGGAGGGGTCATCCTTACAAACTGATGCCATGCCCATGGCATTTAGAGCGAGGACAGTGAGCTTTTCTGTGTCTGCTTCTTCATGGTCTTCAACTCCGTTTTCTTTTAAGTTCCTTTCATGAGAGGAAGAAACAGGGGCACAGAGAGGAAGGCAGGGCCCCACAGCTGGGGCTCACACCTCAGTCCCCGCCAGCCTTCCCAGGCAGCCAGGATCACAGGACCAGGTCACCTCGGGCACCGAACCCATGACCTACCATGTGGATCCAGCTTTGCTTGAGGGGTGTGTTACCGCTGCACTTCAGCCCTTCGTATTCTGAGGAGGCATGTTCTGGTCTCTCAGAGGACTCAGTCTAAGTCTTTGCATTACCCTGCTTGGTACTTAAGGCCCTTCAATACAAAGACTCATGTCTTCCTTCGGTTTTGTAAACCACCTTCAATTGTGTCTTAATTACTTCTTCTTTTTTCTTCTTCCTTTTAAGAGTTTTTTTTTTTTTGTCTTAGGGTGCATGTGTTCACTGGAGAGAGGACAGAGACAGTGAGAGGGAAAGGGAGAAATCACCCCAGGGGGGATGGCCATGCCGCAATCCCTTCTCCTCCATTCTCCTCCTGGGATCTTGGGCACGCACGCACACTCACGTGGTGTGAATGTCAATCCACCAGTTCCGGGACATGAACTGCAGGAGGCCACGTGGGAGTCCAGTGTCATAACCCACTGCTGGCCACCCATGTGCTTAGCCCTCTTTCTGAAATGCTTACTAGATGAGTGTTGGCCCCCTGAAAGTTTCCCTAGGAATCTTTGCCCTATTTCTCTAGTTGTGGGGTGAGAGCTCCCCAGATGCCCACACTCACCATGGGAGGATGGCCAGTGTTCATGAAGGCGCGGAGGGGAAGAGCTCTGAGACACACTTCCTTCTCGCTGTAGCAGCTGCTCCCTGAATTCACTTCCTCCCCCTGTCGGTGCATACACGTGTCAGGCCAAAAAGAACAGCTGGACAGTAGAGGTTATCCGGGAAAAGGGAAAGCTTGCGTCACCAGTAGGGGTCAGCCCCACCAGCAGCATGGCCACATGTCATCCACCCTGAAAAAGCAAGGGGCTTTTATACTAGCAAAGGGATCCAGTGCATGTAAGTTCTTCTGGAAGAGTTTGTGCTGGACGAAGGTAACAGGAGGGTCTTACAGAGATGGTGGAAGCGACAGGACTGGTGACAGTCTATCAGCAGAAGCCGTCTGAAGCAGCTAACTGGCAGTGCTGCTGGCCCGTCCAGCTGTCCCCAGTCTAAGGGAGACCGAACCTGGAATTACCTGAGAAGGAATGTCTTGGGAAAGGCAGCCACGTGGTCAGAAGGGAGCTACTGCAGCCGGTGAACAGGCCGGCCAGCCACCCTCTCCTTAACTCTTCAGTCCTTAGTTTTTTCTTTTCTTTTCTTTTAGAATTATTTTATTGAATTTTATTTATTTATTTATTTAATTTATTTTTTAATTTGACCAGAGAGGGACAGAGAGAGAAAGAGAAAGCAAGCCGCCAGGTCCGGGACTTGAACCACAGTCGGCCATGTGGGAGTCCAGCACCCTTAACCACCTTGCCACCTGCCAAACCCCAGTCCTTAGTTTTTTGGTTTTTTTTTTTTTTGGAGAGGTTTTTGCTATAGGGTGCGTGCACTCGCCAGACAGACAGACAGAGACAGAGAGACAGAGAGACAGAAAGCGAGAAATCACCCCCCAGGGGGAATGGTCACGCCGCAATCCCTTCTCCTCCATTCTCCTCTCGGGATCTTGGGCACGCACGCACACGCGCCTGGTGTGAGTTTTAAGCCACCAGGTCCAGGACGCGAACCGTGGTCGACTACGTGGGAGTCCAGCGACAGAGCCATTACGCTAACTGCTGGTTCCCTTTAGTTTTTAAAATTTGGCGTTGCAATTGCTTTTCTAGATGAATTTCACATGTGCGTCACCTTTTGTACAAATGGCAAAAAATCCTCTTGAGCTGCTAACTAAATTCTTTTCCCCTCCAGAAGGCCCGGAAAACCACGGAGGAATTTTACTGAATGATGTGGACAATAAGGATGAGCCTCGGCCGGATCAGCAGACGCACCAGGAGGAAGCTGTGCGGGCCCACCCGGAGGACAGCGCCCCGCTCTCCTGCAAACAGCTGGTGCTGCACAGGGGGCTCCTGCTTCTCGGGCTCGTTCTCGTCTTGCTGGTGGGAATTTTAGTGAGAGTATGTGTCCGAGTTCAGTGACACAGAAAGTCAGGTCAGTTACTTGACAGCTTCACAGACGATTCCAAGGCCCTGCAGTGGCGACTCATTCTCAGTTAAAGTAATTCAGGCCACGGAGTTCAAGACTTGGGATTCCACAAACAGATGGGTAGGGAGATACATGCTGTGTGTGTGTGTGTTTAAGTGAGAGACCGAATGAGGTATTTTTGACAGTCTTGCCACTTCGCAATCCTTCTGCCTAGGCTCCCCATTAGCCAAGGCTACAGGTGCACACCACCGTGCCCAGTCTGTTTTAGGCCCAGCTGGACCTGAACCCGGGCCTCCCATGTGGCCTCCGCCTCTGAGCAACATCTGAGAAGCACGTGCCACCGCGGCTGGGCCTAAAGATATTCTTTTCTGCGGAAGAGAAAGAACCAAGACATAAACTTTATTCTGGTCCAAGGCAATGTCTGAAAAATAACGTCTAAGTAAAAGCTCCTCTCCCGCCGTCTCAACCAAGGACCACAGTGCACGGTGCATTGCTGTGTGGCTTTGCTACTTCCGCTCACTGTGTTTGTAGCTGAGCCCATATGCTAAGCACTGTTAAACTGTATGGGCTTGCAAAAGGCCTCCCCACTCCTGTCTGGGTCCCATAAGTGACCTCGCGAAGTCTGCTTCCTTAGTTAGGTTGCTAAGTTAGAGCCAATTCCCAGCAGACACCCTTCAGTCACCCACGGCCCATCCTTCACACTGAGCTCGGCAGGCCACCATCAAGCTACACCCAATCCAATGACTTCTCTACCTCATCCCCATCCCCTCACTTCCTTTTTTTGTACATCCTTTTCCCTTTCTTGCGCATGAATGTCACCCACGTGGCTATCTGGAGTTTCTGGGAAGCCATTCTAGTGGCTTCTTGATTTGAACCTTTTTTTTTTTTTTTTCTTAATTAAACTCTACTACATTTCATTGTCTGAGGTTTTTCTTTCCATAGCACTTAAGGATTCTTACTGCCTGAATTATTTAAAATGTATTTTATATGCTATCTTTCCTTGTGGCTTAGATTATTATTCAGTAGATAATCAGCATTTGCTAGCCTTCCTTTGGGGTCCAGGTCTCAGGCACTATGGGCACTGGCAAATAGCTGGGAAGTCTTTGGAGACATGGCAAGCAAAACTATTGTGGATAATTCTGGGACCAGCAGTTAGCATAATGGCTATGTCGCTGGACTCCCACGTAGTCGACCGCAGTTTGCGTCCCGGACCCGGTGGCTTAAAACTCACGCCGGGCGCGTGTGTGTGCGTGCCCAAGATCCCGAGAGGAGAATGGAGGAGAAGGGATTGCGGCGTGACCATCCCCTCTGGGGGGTGATTTCTCGCTTTCTGTCTCTCTGTCTCTCTCTGTCTGTCTGGCAAGTGCACGCGCCCTATAGCGAAAACCTCTAAAAAAAAAGAAAAAAAGAAAGAAAAAGAAAAAACGAAGAAAAACTATTGTGGATAATTCTGGCGTCTGGGGAGGTGTCAGAGGGTAAAGTTTTATCAAAAGGCACAGTTACAACAATAAAGGTCATAATGGCTTTGCTGTCCTAGAGTTGGGCACAATCGAATGTCAGAAAAGACAGGAAGTGTTTCAGGGGACTAAACAGAAGAGGCGAGCTTTATAGAGAAGGACTGAAGAAAGCAGAGATGAAAGAGCGAATGTGGATTGGCCTTTTCGAAGTTACTTTCTTTCTAAGGCCAGGACAGGAAAGACCAACAGCAAACTGCATCAGGTCGTCCCCCCCCCATAGGGTGTGTGCACTTGCTAGAGAGAGACAAGAGACAGAGAGAGAGAAAATGAGAAATCCCCCCTCAGGAGGAATGGCCATGCCACAGTCCCATCTCCTCCCTTGTCCTCTCAGGGTCTGGGGCCATGCCACAGTCCCCTCTCCTCCCTTGTCCTCTCAGGGTCTGGGGCACGCATGCGCATGCCCCGTGATTTTCAAGCTGCTGGGTCCAGGGCTGGAACCACAGTTGGCCATGTGGGAGTCCAGTGCCTTAACCACCATGCCATCTGCTGGCACCCTGATACTTATTTTGTGTAAGGATTAAAATAAAGGGAATCTCATTATTATGCTGATTGAAATTACCCAGTTGGGAAACTAGACTGTTAAAAACCTCTCATGTTATTGTGGAAGGTCAGGTAACAACTTAGCTTTGGCTTGCAGACGGGAGACCTGAGTGACTCCATTTTGATTTCTAGTCTGGCTCCTTGGGACCTAATGCAGGAGCTTAGTCTGGAAACAGGGGCCTCTTATTTTAACCACCACCTGGCCGCCCCATAGTGCTGTTTCAATAAAGGCCTTAGGTTACTCTAGTACTTCATTCCTTCTGCAAGCTCAGTACGGAGGACCTCGGGAGCCGGGCCAGGCTGTCCTGAGAAAACAGGTAAAGGCAAGATCAGAGTGAGCCAGCTTTTCCTCAGGGTCCCCAGAGCGTCTCCAAGCAGAGCGCCTCGTTTTGGGGCCATAAAGCTGACACAGGGGCCCAGATAAAGCCTTGCACTGCAGGGGGCCCTTAAGTTGGGCCTGGGGGCGGGAGGTGGCCCAGACACCCCGGCCTTCAGGAGGATTCGCATACTCCCTGCGCCTCTCCTGCCAGGAGCGAGCTGGGCGCACCAGGTTCTCTCAACCAGCGGCCAACAGCAGCGAGTGGGAGGCTGCGCTGGGGGGCTGGCTGGGAGCTCACCCCTTCCTCGGGGAGGAGGCACCTGCACCGGCAGGAACAGAAGGCGCGGATGGGCAGGAGGAGTGCCGCTCGGTGTGGAGACGGGAACGATCCCTGCTGCCCTCCAGGCCCGCCCCTCTGCACAGGTGGCTTTACCTGCCCAGTCTTCCCGCAGGCGCCCTCCTCCCTCACCCCACCGCAGTTCCCTTCCTAGCCCCCAGGTCCCTCCTGGGCCCCCTCCCCCGGGTTCTGCAGGCGGTGACGGTTGGACGTGGTGCCCGAGGCCTGAGTGAGGGTGGAAGGGGCGGCCCGGGTCGGAGCGCAGCCCGCCCACCTCCCGGTAGCGGGGCCGTCGTGGGAGGTGCTGGGCGAGGCAGGGCCGC